AGAGAGAGAGAGAGAGAGGGGGGGGGGTGAAGGAGAGAGAGAGAGAAAGAGAGAGAGGGAGGGAGGAAGGAGGGAGAAAAAGATAAGAGGGGGTGGAGTAGGAAGAGTGAGAATGAGAGAGAGAGAGAGAGAGAGAGAGAAATATAGAGTGAAAGAGGAGAGAGGGAGAGTTAGAATGAGATGAGAGAGGGGGGGGTGGGGGGTGAAGGAGGAATATAATTGTTTTATGTTTTATTATTTTTAATATGCTTATAGAACAAAAGATAACTGATAAAATTTCTCAAAAACAAATAAATGAGTAAATAAAAAAAACAGAAAAATTATAATTGATAATCAGAAACTATTGTCATAAAAGAAAGAAAATAGGATACTCAATTAAAATTCCTTGTTCAGTCAGAATCAACCTCCCGCTGATAAAAAAAACCTTACAAACACAAATATAGATCATTCATATGATTCCTCCCATATTATAACCATCATTTATTCCTCTTTATAGCAGGATAATTACTACCATTAATATGATTAATCTCTGAATTCATCTAGATCCAGCCAACCACTATGACAGCAGAGAGGGACAGCTCCAATACGGGAAAAGACTTCCTGGTGTACAGTGAAGGAGACGTGGTGACGGTACTGGACAGAAAGTAAGGAAATATTTCTTTCCTGATTTCTTTGTTTTTATCGAATTTCATGTTCTGGTGGCTATGGTTTCTAAGAATGTCTGTCAGAAAAGAATGGTGTCAAAAGTGGGCTACAGTTGACTTGAAGTAGAATAATTCTCTTCCTCCTCAGTGTCACATTCTAGATATGCAGGCCTGGAAATGTGTCAGATGAATTTCTTTTAAAGAAAAAAATAAAGGAGGAAATATTAAGAGAATACAGGCAAAGTCAAAATGTATGTCTGAACAAATGACAAGTATGATGTTCATTGTGCTCTGTGTTTCTACATTCATTGAAGTGCTACTGTGTTTGTATGTTTTGAATAGAGCAGCACTTTGATCACTTTGGTTAGACTTAAAACACCTCCAAATGCATCTATTAGCTTTTCAGCAAATGAATGATAAACAGTTAATTTCTCCATAACCTGTTTAAAAAAAATAAGTGCAACTTGACTGTGACTCTACGTCAAGGGTGACCATGGGCATGGAAACAGCAGCTGAGAATGCTCTGGGACAGGTTTTACTTTCTCACTCGATTTTTCTTGCCACGCCAGAAAATCGTCAGGGTCTTTACACTGCCACATTAGATATGCGGTATCTCTCGGGCCAAGAATACTTGACCAGCCCCCAACCAGCTTGATATTGGTCCCAGCCTGCAAACTGTGCAGCTCAGTAGTCAGAGTGATCATACTGGACCTACTGTGGTTGTACCTCTGCAGGAAATAGAGGTTGCCTTTATTATCCTGATCTAGATCTCCATCTGGTCCTGCGATGGCCCTGGTGAGCATGTTGTCCTGTTTCCACCACATGGAGATGACTCGGCTGATGTACTGAGACAGCCACTCGGGGTCGCTGGCGAGGGAGGTGCGCACTTGGCCACGGTGCTTTAAACTGTCGTATTCCCAGATGTGCACCACCTGGTTCATCCCCCCTATTTCAGATGTCCAAAATCCAATCAACTTGGAAGCTTTTAGTCTTATGTGTAATTTTTCTTCAGAGATGGCCATGTACCATGGCCCATAGGAGATTACGCGTGCGTCTTTTAGACGTCCCTTTACATGCGAAAACGACAAGGCCTATGCCGAGTTCGTCTTTTACTACAGAGCTTTGAGAGCCGAAAATGGCATGGCTGTGTCTCTTTCGCCACTTACTGAACTCCAGAGATGCGAGATTAACACGACCCATGTCGCGTTTGTCTCTCAAAAGACACTGTTATAAAACATGAAATAGGCATTACGTGTGATTTTCGCAGCTGAATAAGTAGACCCTTATAAACGAAGTTGACGTGACCTTAGAGTCATGTCGCTTTCAACTTTTACAAACCTCCAACAAAATCTATCTCCACACAGACGCGCGCGACATGTACTATTGGACATGGGTCAGTTGAAAGCGACATTAACCTAAATGGCTCATGTTACTTTCAGCCAATTAATTTGAAACAGAAGGACCGTCTTAAAACCCTTTATATTTGAATCCTTGAAAATAAAAATATGAGGCCATATAATTATTACAAGCAATTAGCCACACTGTTATCTAGATAGCACTAAATTATGATGGGATTCAAATGAAAAAAATATTTTGGGACAGCACAACACTGTTTCAAATTAATTGGATTTGACATATAAGAGTTGGCTGAAAGTAACATGAGCCCTTTAGGTTAATAGGGTTTCAACTGACCCATGTCCAATAGTACATGTCGCGCGCGTCTGTGTGGAGATAGATTTTGTTGGAGGTTTGTAA